GGTGGCTGATTTGATAGTTAACGACCAAAATTTTGATTAAAATCTTGATTAAAATTTCTCTCAAACAAGGCCTCAGTTTTCCCACCAAAAAGGTGGGAAAACCTTTTCATCCATTATATGGAAAATCTAGTGCGTGGGTTCAAGGTGGGAAAACATTTGGGTGGCAAAACTTTGTCCATCAAACACATTGTTTTGTGAAAAATGAAATTTGAATTCTATTTTAGTTTCGTCGACACTTCGATCTATCAAACCAGTCGACCAAATTATGTTTCAGTCGAGCAGACCAGTTGACTGAATTATACTTCGGTCGACCGAAGTACTTATTTCTTGAAAAATAAATTCTTATGTCAAAAATGTTTATTTCTCCAAACTTATTATCATATTAAAGACATCTTTATGCAAGTGATGAATTTATGAGGAATGGTTTGAACTTTATGCATTTGCTAAAATCGATGAGTTATATATTTACATATAAATCGAAACAACTTCTAAAATTATAATCTTCAAGGTTCTTGATCTTTTCGAATCTCTTTTGATTGTTTGTTCTTCAACGAATGACGATCTGAGATTTTGAGTGCTTAAGAAGATTTATCATGAAAAGCTCAAGAAACAAGATTTGTTAGAAATATAAGTGTATTGTTTGTTATAAACAAAACAAGTGGAGTTATATTGAATCATATGTCAACAATTAGTACGTAATTTTTGTTTCTAAATATGTATAGATAAGATACTTTTTTTTGTTTTTACTTTTTAAGGTAAAAAAGTTTATATTACAGAAAAAATGAGTAATTTTTTTATTTTGAAAATCATTTATGTATCTTTGGTTTACTTATAAATAAACATTTTAAACTTAGTCAAATGTAAATATTTTAATTCGATTCTGCTTCGTATCCGTCTCTATCACCAAGTTGGTCAATATTGCTGTAATGGTTGAAAATAGGGGTCCAACCAATGTTTTGCATAAACAAATAAGTATATCTCGAGCTTGATTTGCAATTGCTAGAAGTATTGGTGACCCAAAGTTCCTTTGATAAACGAGAGTGTGGATTGGTAATTCATTGCATTTAAGATATGTAATCCTATCCTGAAAGAATTTAATGCACAGAGTTTAAGCGTGTTAAAAAATTAAAAATTCTCTATTCCAATCCCTTCCCCTGGAGTAGAACATTACCAATAAAAGGCACGGAGGGAAAAGCTGATATAGCACCAAAACTAGAATATTCCATATCATGCGATGGAAGTTGAGCCATTGTTTGGTGGCCTTTTTTTTGGAAAAAACATTGTTTTGAATAATGAATTTTTGGAGAATGTGTGGTTAAAAAGTGAGGAAAATTTTTGAGTTTACGTGTAGAATATTTTATTATGTGAATGTATGGTTAAAAATGAGAATGTAGAAAGAGCTTTGAAAGAATGAGAGACAAACATTAGCTAACTGATACTTGTGTCTACACTATCAACGGGTCCAATTTCAATTTTGAAGGGGACATTTTCCATTAATGGCCTTTTCAAGTTCAATAGCACTGTTAAAAGATTGAAACTGAAAATATATTTAGAGACAATCAATCAAGAAATATAAAAAAATTAAATGATAATAAAGGAATATTTTGTTTAAAAATTTACAAATATACCATTATAAATACTCACTGCTATCACATTGCGGTGGTGATATAATTCTTACGAAATTTAATTCTTCTAACTTTTTCTAGGCTAGGTTGTATACGGAAAAATCTAGAAATCAAAATTATTGGAGCCAAAATTGGTGTCGACTACTTCAAGTTGAAACTTTATTTTAATGATTGACTCTTTAAATTATAAGCATTTGAGAGCATGTTTTAGAAGCATTTATAATGATTTATATTATAAATGATTAGAAATAAATGATAAATAAGTGAATAGTAAGTGTGGATATTTCACACGTGTAGATTGGTGCTCATAATTTACAATACTCAATCTGATGTTGCAGTGATAATATCAGCCAACGCTTCGACAACCAATTCTTCAATCGGAACCATTGCAGAAGAGGAAAATATATATAAGATAACGTGATTTTGCACCACTGTATTTGATCCTTGTCACAGTAAAAACCAGAGATATTCTTGTAAAAATTATTTACAGTCTTAAAATGCTAGCAGATAAATTAGGAAGTAAAATTCTATTTATAACGAAATTTTGCAGCCTAATTTTCATTTAAAGTTGCTCAGTCAGTTTCTTGATAGTTAACTAGTGAAATTTAGCATAGCCTAGCATGGAAGGTTAGCAATTCGAATTGAAAGGGGATTCCCATAAATGAAGGAAACCTGTACAGCTTTACAACTAATTAACAAGAACAGAGCAATAGAATAAAGAATCTTTCCTTTCTTCTGGTTGGTACAATTTTTTGCAATGACCTTTCTTGTCACAGATGAAAAACCTATCTCCTTTCTTTTTTGTAATCTTCTTCTTGAAATATTCCCTTCTCTGAGGAAAAGATTTGAAGAACCTTTTATTGTGAAACTTGAGTTTTCGCCTATGATATCTTTTATTTCCCGGACAATCGCAACTTTTTTTATCATGTCGGCTCTTGATTTTTAGATGTAGTTTGTTACAAGCCTTTTCAAGCTTTTGGCCTGTGGCATTGATATTTTTCAAAAACTCTCTTTAGTTGCAGAGCGTTTTCAAGGTTCTCGTTACCCAATTGTGGTGTTCGCCAAATGAAGTAGTTCCCAATGACTGTCCTTTTATTTCGATTATCCTGGCTGCCCTGCTACCTCTAATTGTTCATTCGGGTCTCTCAGAAGATTTGGGCATGGAATTCGGGTTCGGACCAGCTTTAGGGTCAAAAGCAGAGGTTTCCTCGCAAGAGGGGCTTGGAGTTGTTGGTATGGATTCTGAGTCTGATTTAGAGGGATTCGAGATTAGTGATGGTGAATTATCAAGCAACTTATCTTTGTTTGATATTGATTTTGATGAATTTGGTAAAACCAAGGCTAGAGTTGTGGAACGCAAGAATAGAATGAGCTTAGTGGAGCTTTTAGATGAAAGTTCAGTAGTCCCCATAATAGTATATGGTAATTTAGAGGTTGAAATTAGTGGAATTTCACACGGTTCATGAGTTTTTGGGAGTGGCAATTTGTTTATGTGTTGTGTTGTGTTGGGAGGAAACTAATGGGCATCTATCTCTATCTGAGGCAGATAAGAGAGGGGCTGCAGCAGTTGTGGCTAGTAAGGAGGTTGATATAGAGGAGACGTTGCAGTGCAAAGCTTTGGTTATTGTAAAGGATACTAATGCAGTGATTGCTGGATTGGCGGCTTTGTTTTATAGATATCCCTCTTACAGTATCCAGTCATCGGTATAATGGGGACTAATGTGAAGACAACAACCGCCCATTTGATCAAGGTATATATGAGCCGATAAGGTTGAGGATTGGGATGTTGAGTACTGTGGCATATTATGTTCATGGGTAGAAAACATTGGAGTCAACTAACACAACCCCAGATGCTGTTTTGGTTCAGAAGTTGATGGTGATGGTAAAGGTGGTGCATAATGGCACAGAGGCATTGGTTATGAAGTCTTCTCGTGGATTGGCATTAGGAAGGGATGATGAGGTTAATTTTGATATTGCGGTTTTCACAAATTTAACTAGGGATCATTTGGATTTTCACGGGACTGAGGAGGAATATAAGGATGCCAAGGCCAAACTCTTTTTGAAGATGGTGGATCCAGAACGCCATCACAAAGTTGTTAATATCACGACCTCAATGCAGCTTTCTTTTGTACAAGAGAATCCTGATGTAGCTGTTGTGATCTTTGCAGTGGAGAATAAGAAGGCTAATATTCATCCTTTGAAGTTGGAATCATCTCTATTCGAGATACATGGTTTGGTCAGTATACCTCAAGGTATATTAGAAGTTCCATTGGGCCTGCTTGGGAAGCACAATATTTACAAAATTTTGGCTGCTGTAGCTGTAGGAATTGCGGTTGGGGCCCCTTTAGAAGACATTGTTAGAGGAACTAAAGAGGTTGATGCTGTACCAAGTAGGTGTGAGTTGATTGATGAGGAACAAACTTTTGGAGTAATCATGGACTCTACTCCTACGCCCGAGGCATTGTCCAGAATTCTTGATCATGTGAGGGAACTTGGCCCAATGAGGGTCATCACTGTTTTTGGTTAACTGGAAAAGGTGACAAAGGGAAGATGCCCATGATGTAAAAAACTACAATTGATAAAAGTGACATCCCAACCTTGAGATTAGACAACCCAAAAAATTAAGACCATCTGGACATACTGGACGACATTTAGCCGGTGTAGGTTGGACAATTCATGATTATTTGAAAAATGGAAAGAATAATTACTATCTACCTCTTTCTAATGGGTGAAGTAATCAGTCTTAAGGCTCTTGGGTACACTAAAGGTAGTGTATTTTGCATTAAGAGAAACCAAGAAGATGAGATGAATGAGACATGCCACCTTGCACTATTTGCTTAATCCGAGGGTAGTAAAACGAATGGTGCAACCTGCTCAAGCAGTTTCAGCTGTTTCTTCAATAGCATCCCAAAGTTCTCGACCATCACCACTGCTAAATCAACAGCCCAATATTCAGCCCGCTTCATCATTTTTGGGTCAAATTGGTCAGAACCAGACGAGGAAACCACAACTGAACCAAACTCAGCCTAAGAGACCTATTGATACCCAATCATCTTCAATGTCACTACCACAGTCTTCTCGTGTTTTATCGAATAATTTTTTTATGGAAAAAGCAATTGGAGCTGAATATGGGAAGGTTTTGAAACATTTAGATTAGATGGTGTTGGAATATTCTAACA